GCTGCTCTGTCCGCGGTGGCTGGTCTCGGAATATGTGCCGTGATCGGACTACCCTTCAATGTGCTCACGATTCAGGTGAGAATGCCCTCTTCCATGATTGCATACAGTTTTTCCCCCACCCCCACCTCAGCGCATCTACTCATCACTGCCCCAATCTACTTTCTGTCTCTCCGCGTTTCCGTACAGGTTCTCCCATTCCTGTTAATGGGACTTGGCGTGGATGGGGTCTTCACATTGACTACTTGTCACGACTGTTGCGTGGCTCGGCGAGCCACTTGTTCCGCGCTGAATTCGAATTCATCCAAAGCGTCCTCTTTGGTATGTGAATTTCCACTTGTCACTTTTGTGTCCTCTTGTCAGTCAGATAATTTCTTATTCACAGAACACAGATTTCGGATGGCAAATCAGCCGCGTGTTGTTGCATGGTTATCGATGTTACCCTATCAGCTGATTCACTAGATTCGATAGATGTGGACACAACTCGGGGGACCAATGCCTCCCAAATTTTCTTTCATAACCATTAAACTAGACAGCAATTCTCGTCCGCGCACCATGAAGAGCAGTTCTAGGCACTTCGAGGCTTTTGGAACTGTGCTGATTTCAGATATTATTATTATTATTATTGTTGGTGCTCTGTCTGAGACTGTGTACCAAATAAATCATAGGACAAAAAATTTGATTTGTTGGGGTGTCTAAGCCAAAACAAATGAATGATCTCGAGGAATTCACAGAATCGCTAGATGTACACCGATCCGGTTTATAGCCCCGAATTTCGGTTTGTTGTCCTCATACTTTGATGAGAAAACAATCTGGTTGTTTGAAGACACTGAGTAGAACAGAGACACTTGGTCGTACAGGCACATTTCACAACGTTGCCCAGTGACAACCCAAAACGCCCACCCTGACCATATTGTGGCTTTTAGAGCCCGGTTTTTTTGGAGGGGTTTCGCTGGTTTTTTAAGCGATGTACGTACCAAGTGCGGGGCGGTGGGAGTGGAGATCCACCACTGAATGGAGCGACATTTGGAAGTTGAGTGAATGGCCGAAATCAAAGAGGTGGATTGGGGTGCCCGAGGCATAGAGGCTAGTACACCAGCCTGTCGACTTGGAAATGTTGGTTGTATCGGTTGTCCCCCTGTCACACACGCACACTTGGCAGCGATCAGTGAAGTTCGCTTCACTGTATCTCGTTGTACAATGATGATTAGTGACTTGTGTCTAGGAGTCATTCATTCTACACCCTTTTTCAATTTGAGAATTTCTCTTACTACGGCGCCGGTATCTTGTGCAGCACGAGCCTGCGAATAAGGAGCTTGTCCAACTGACGGAATGCGAAGTTGGTGGGGATTTACCGCTCTCTCTCTCTCTCTCTCTCTCTCACACACACACACACGCTTACGCTTACGAATTCGTCTCCGTCCATTCCATGCAGACGCTCTGCACTCGAAAATGAAACTAGGCCCCGTGACTATAAGGATTCATCGTTGTACTGCCGCGATAATTGGCATCGGGACGTCACAAATTAAAAGTGTACAATCTGTTTAGCATCAGTGGTCTTTTTTCAGGCGCGTCGTTTGTCCTCATCTTTGCCCCCCCCCTCCGGGCCTTGTCTGAGGCGGTCAGTACTATATTATCCCATGGGAGATTCGCAAATCAGCCTTCGGTTCAACAATTCGAATCTGATCTAATCCACTCTGTTCTCTAACAACCCTCATACCACCTAACTGTTCACATGCAAACATCAACATCTTCCTCTCTACACACTTAGTCGTGTGCTGGCCCCCTGATGAAAATATTTTCCATGTCTCTTCGGATTTGTACTGATCACAGACACCCTGGGCTTCGAATTCGTCCATCGCCACCTGTTCTTCCGGTTCGACGGGGACTTCGTCCACTTACTACTCTTCCCTGTCCTCGGCAACTTCGTACACTGCTCCTGTGCTGGCTCAGCATGGTCCCAGTCTTTTGTACGGCACGATAGCGATCGCAGGTGCTTTCTTCTCAGCTGCCTATATCCCGATCCCGTTGATGCGTCAATTCTGTTTGCAAGTAAGTCTCTCTGTCTTTTCGGTGATTTAACTCCGCTCATCTGTGAGCCCACCTCACCCCTTGGGTGCATTCACATCCTCCGTGCACTCCATTCGAGTTCGAGCCCCGTCCGTTGGTGTTACATTCAGTAGTGTGCAGTTTTTTTCCCTCGATCTCCTCGTTGTTCCAATTCGTTCCGTTCCGTTTCAGCATCAGTTTCAGTTCAATCCAGGTCTTTTGCTTCCATTTTCTGTTCTGTTTGTTTACAACTCTCTCGTCACCCGCACACTCGCACTAGCAAACAAAGCAAAACAAAGGCATAGCTGAAATGATCTTGGTGATTGTCTCCACTTCTCCACGTTCGAACATCATCATCGCCAACTACCTATCAAGAAGTACATCCACCCTGTTTTCAGTTCTCTTTAACCGCCCTCCCCCTCCAAACACACACTTCGGTCTCCAAACCGATATCGATCCTTTTCGCAAACTATCCCCCGGGGTCGTAATGCCGAACGCTGTCTGCATGCGTTTGCATTAGACATCCGCTCTTGTGTGTGTCTACCTTTGTATCTTGTGCCAGTCACACACACCACCCACAGTTCATGCGTCCATCCCACCACCATGCTCGTGGCCGTTTGTCTGGTGGACCGCGGACCACCCAGATTTGCGAATTAGTAGTAGTAGTTGCAGTTGTAATAGTAATAGTAGTAGTAGTGTGTGCGTCCTCGTACGCACACGTGCGCGCCCGTGAAACGAGACTTTGTTTCTGCAGTTCCAGAGACCCCGGGTCGGATTGCCACTGCGGAAACTGTCTGTGCACGCGCGCGCACGCACGCATGCCTGCACCCTCACACCACGCTATTTGAAGGGCTGGATTGCCACCAACATGACGGTTAGTAATAGACAGGCCCTACCGCATGCAACCGGCTGATTCACATGCACACACACAGAGACCATATAACGGGATCGGGAGCACCTTGCGCTTTTGTTTCCTTTTCACATCTGTTCCATTTCCCCTTTCTGCCAACTTCTGCTCCCGTCCCCCTTTATCGACGTGGATCCCGGAGGCCAGTGAATGCTATTCGTTCCATGCGGTGTATCGGTTTGTGCACACTCCAGGCTGACACCAGTAGGCAGCAGCAGCAAGAATAACAATAATGGATGTTTTGTGAAGCGTGTGATACCGATCACGTTGGCAGTGGCGATGTTACGCTGCTACTGATGATGATGATGATAATAATAATAATAGTGTGGTGGTTTTGTGATGTGTAAACCTGTGCGTGTGTGCGCGCATACATATACACGACCAGGTTACAAGCGATTCGTGGACCGGACAACTTCCCCTCGGTCGCGTATAGCGGTTTCAGGTGAAACTAATGCCGTTGTTGCAAGTGAATCTGAATCAGTAACCTGGAAGTTCTGTTCCCAAACCGCTCACACTAAATCCCACTTGCTGGAGAAATCCTGCCTGCATCCGGCATCATCCAGCCAGTCCAGTGACTACCTACCACATGGATATTCCAATGTGTGTGTGCCTCTGGTCTGGTCTCCGTCTTCCATAAACGGACGATTGTCTTTCTTTCTAACTCGGTCGACCCGCGGGCTCGAATACTTTTTATGGGTAGTAAAAAGAATGTGCTACCGAATGTACANTACTCACACGGCTCTAATGGCGGAGATGTAAAACTCGTTTTCACTCCAGTTAACTCTCTCTCTCTCTCCGTCTTCTGTTCTGCGCGCGCACAAATCAGACTGCTACTGTTG